TCGAGCCTCACATCGGGCTCCATGATAAGCAGGGAGCCTACTTCTCCCTCTCCCCCTGCTGCTCACTCTGCTTCTGCTCTCTCTCTGTCAAATAAATGGGTGAAATCTTATAAAAAAAAAAAAAAGATTATGCTCCTACAATGCAGAAATTATACCTCACCTCACCTTTCTTTCTTCTATATAACTATACACAGAATGCCACATGCACAGGAGGCGTATTATAAATAATTGTTCTTCCTTATTGAAAAGGATGAGGTGCGCCTGGGTGGCTCAGTCGTTAAGCGTCTGCCTTCAGCTCAGGTCATGATCCCAGGGTCCTGGGATCGAGTCCCGCATTGGGCTCCCTGCTCCGCAGGAGGCCTGCTTCTCCCTCTCCCACTCCCCCTGCTTGTGTTCACTCTCTCGCTGTGTCTCTGTCAAATAAATAAAATCTTTAAAAAAAAAAAAAAGAAAAGAAAAGGATGAGGCTAACTGTCAAATGTCAAATAATGCTGAGAGTTAGTTCATAGAGGGTGGTGTTGACAAAACATATTCTAAAAGACTCTCAGATCTCCTTCCTCCTTATGAATATCTTAAGATAGGACCCATAAATTACTGCAGAAACTTCCCAACTGGGATGACTTACAATCTTCTCTCCTGTGCTGTTGCCAAAGTGACCTTTCTAAAACACAGATCTGATTTTATTACCCCAAGGCCTCAAGTCCTTTAATAGTTTCTTATTGCCATCAGGAAGAAAATCCAAACTCCTCAGCATGTTTCATTTGCTCAAGCATATATACTATGCTCTAGCTATCCTCTGGTACCTAACTGCCTCTTTGTCCTCCTTGCTTCCACATATGCTGTTTCCTTGTCTTTAATTTCAACTGCCTCCTCTGCATCCTATTCAAAGTAGAAATCCTGCTTGTGGAGTTTTCTATGACTTTCAGTAATAAATTAAATGGTTTTCTTCTCTGGGATCTCAAAGCATTTTGTATAAGATTTTATTATACCCATTAAAGTGTATTACAACTGTCTACTCTTCTGTCTTCCATCTTGTGTCCCTAACACTTAGAAGAGCACTTCTCACATAGGAGTGTTGAACGGAAGGAAAAAGGCCAAAAAATGAAAGGATCTTTGAATGTGGTTAAAAAACAGGTCATTGGTGATGTTAGAAAGTGCAGTTTAGGTGGGTAAGAAGAAAAAAAAAAAGACTGGATGTATACGAAATGAAGGATGGAATAGGTAGAAAGAAAATATTCAACATATTCATTTCAAAAATCTGTAAGAAAAGAAAAAAGAAATGGATGAAAGAAAAAATATCACAAAGAAAGACTGCTTTTTTAAAAACACAGATAGCTGACCAAATTAGAAGGCAAAAGAAAGCAATTTGAGAGAAAAAACCGGAAGATTTAAAAAGAGCAAGTACAGAAATCACATCCTATACTCAGAGGACAGAGATGACAGAGAGAAAGGCTGGAATGAGACTGGAAGAATATGAGACAGTTGTTGAAACAGATGTTTCAAAGTAAACATAGAATACTTTCCATTTCAGGCATGAGAATTTTCATTCTTTTAATTTCCCAAACTAGAAATCTTAAAAACAAAAACCCCCAAAACCAACCAAACAAAAAAACTTTGGCACATTCCTTCTATCCAGCTATTATTAATCTATAACCAACTATCGTTTCTTCTTTGTACATATCTTTCAAATCAGCTCTTTCTCTCTCCCCCTGACATGACTCTCTTACCTTATAAGCCTTCATCAACTCTCAACTGAATTACTGCAAAGCTCCTAAGAAGTTTCTAATTCTAGTATCTCCAACATCAAATTTAACAAGAAAACACATCCAGCCTTCTCAAACATTCTTTGTGAAGCTCTCTCTGACCAGATTCACTCCCTCCTCCATGCTACTACTGCTCCTACAAAACAGGGGTTGGCAAACACTGGCTCACTGGCCAACTCTGGCCCCTTCCTATTTTTATGAAGTTTAACTGATAAGTAAATAAATAAAGTTTAATTGGAAAAGCCATTCCCATTCTGACTTTACATATTTATGGCTGTTTTCAGGCTACAATGGCAGAGAAGAATAGTTACAACAGAGACCATATGATCCACAAAACCTAAAATAGACTCTACAATGATACTTTTATTTTACTTTACTTGTTCACTTACAATAATAATAGAAGTTGACATCAGGTACTTACTGAGATAAGCACTGTTCCAAGTAATTACACATGTTTTACACATATTATCTCATTTACTCTTTACAACATTCTTTTTTTTTTTTTAAGATTTTATTTATGTATTTGAGAGAGAGAGAGTGCAAGAGAATGACCACGACCAGGGGTAAGGGCAGAGGGAGAGGGAGAGAGAGAAGCAGACTCCCTGCTCAGCAGTAAGCCCAACATGGGGCTCGATCCCAGGACCCTGAGATCATGACCTGAGCCGAAAGCAGACACTTAACTGACTGAGCCACCCAGGAGCCCCTTTACAACATTCCTAAAGGAGCAGATATTCCCATTTCCATTTTACAGATGAAGAAACTGAGGATTTTCACTCCAGACCCTATGTTTTTAACTACAACAATAATATGGACTATATTCTCTTTCTTGAGTTTGTTAAGAACACAGATCATACCTAAATCATCTTATTCCCAGAGCCTAGCACAGTGCTTGACATAGTATATATTCTATAATTGTTTGCTAAATTAATCTTACTAACATATCCACTTTCACACTGGCCTTCTCCCTGCTCAATACCCTTCGATGCCTCCATATTTGCTTACTGCGTCAGGTCTAAACCTCTAAACTCCTCTGACTGGCTTTAAGTCTGACCATAATCCAGGGCAACTGTACCTAGCAAAGTTCAAAAAGCTTAATTGTGTCCAACTTCTTCTAGGAGGTTTATGGTTTTGGGTCTCACATTTAGGTCTTTAATCCATTTTGAATTTATTTTTGTGTATGGTGCAAGAAAGTGGTCTGGTTTCATTCTTTTGCATGTTACTGTCCAGTTTTCTCAACACCATTTGTTGAAGAGACTCTTTTACCCACTGTATATTCTTGCCTCCTTTGTCATTGATTAATTGACCATATTGTGTGTTTATTTTTGGACTCTCTATTCTGTTCCATTGATTTATGTGTCTATTTTTGTGCTAATACCATCTTGTTTTGATTAGTACAGCTTTGTAGTGTATCTTGAAACCTGGGCTTGTGATACCTCCAACTTTGTTCTTCTTTCTCAAGATTGCTTTGGCTATTCGGGGTCTTTTGTAGTTCCATGTAAATTTTAGGATTATTTGTTCTAGTTCTGTGAAAACTGCTGTTGGTATTTTGACAGAGATTGCATTTAATCTGTAGATTGTTTTGGGTAGTATGGACATTTTAGCAATACTGGTTCTTCCAATCCTTAAGCATAGACTATCTTTCCATTTGTTGTGTCATCTTCAATTTATCTCATCAATGTTCTATAGTTTTTGGAGTATAGGTCTTTTGCCTCTTTGGTTAAGTTTATTCTTAGGTATTTTATTATTTTTGGTGCAGATGTGAATGAGATTCTTTCCTAAATTTCTTTTTCTGCTGCTTCATTACTAGTGTACAGAAATGCAACAGATTTCTGTATATTAATTTTGTATGCTGTGACTTTACTTAATTTATTTATCAGCTCTAATAGTTTTCTGGTGGAGTCTTTAGGGTTTTCTATATATAGTATCATGTCATCTGGAAATAGTGAAAGTTTTACTTCTTCAGTACCAATCTGAATGCCTTTGAACATAGACAGTAATCTCTCTGACATCGGCCATAGAAACATTTTTTTAGATATGTCTCCTCAGGCAAGGGAAACAAAAGCAAAATTAAACTACTGAGATTACACTAAAATAAAAGGCTTTTGCACAGTGAAGGAAACTGTCAACAAACAAGGCAACCTACTGAATGGGAGAAGATATTTGCTAATGATATATTCAATAAGAGGTTAATATCCAAAATATAGAAAGAACTTATACAGTTTAACACTAGAAAAACAAATAATCCAATTAAAAGATGAGCAGAGCAACTGATTAGACATTTTTCCAAATAAGATATACAGATGGCCAACAGACACATGAATAGATGCTCAATATCACTAATCATCAGGGAAGTACCAATCAACACCACAATGAGATATCACTATATATGTGTCAGAATGGTTAAAATAAAACAGACAAGAAATAACACATGTTGGTGAAGATGTGGAGAAAAAGGAACCCTAGTGCATTATTGGTAGGAATGCAAACAGGTGCAGCCTCTGTGGAAAACAGTATGGAGGTTCCTCAAAAAATTAAAAACAGAATTACCATACGGTCCAGTAATTCCACTACTGGGTATTTACCCACAGAAAACAAAAATACTAGTTTGAAAAGATATATGCACTCCTATGTTTACTGCAGCATTACTTACAATAGTTAAGATATGGAAGCAACCCAAGTGTCCATCCTTACATGAATGGATAAAGAAGATGGGGGTATATATAAAAAATGGAAAATTACTCATCCATAAAAAGAATGAGATTTTGCCATTGGTGACAATATGGATAAACCTAGAAGGTAAAATGCTAAATGAAATAAATCAGACAGAAAAAGGCAAATACCATATGATTTCATTCACATGTGGAATTTAAGAAGCAAAATAAATGAACAAACAAAGAAAAAAGAGAGACAAACAAACAAACAAAAGACTCCTAAATACAGAGAACAAACTGGTGGTTGCCAGAGGGGAGGTGGGTGGGGGGGATGGGTGAAACAGATAAAGGAGATTAAGGGTATACTTTTTATGATGAGCACTGAGTAATGTATAGAATTGTTGAATAATTATACTGAATACTTGAAAGTAATATAACACTGTATGTTAATTATACTTCAATTAAAAACATTTTTTTAAATTCAAATAATGTCCAACTTCTATTTCAGAATTGGCTACTCTTCCTTCTTAAGCTGTGTGACTCTAATTCAACACATGAAATAAGCTAAGCTACCAATGAAACTCACCTGCCATCACGGGATCTGTGGAGACTGCCGTGGTAGCTGCTTACTTTGCTGTGGACACTCCCTGCTTTGCTTCTCTGATCATCCACCATAGCAAGCTGAGTTGAAGAAGCATGTGTGGATGTTCCTTGAGTGGAAGTTCCTCTTGATTTTCTTATAATAGGAGTATTTGGATCCCTCAGAAGAGACTGAGCAAAATCAGGTTCCTGTAGTACCTGTCGGCTCTCATTCACTATCCTAGAAAACAAATACAAAGTTTAAGATACAGACTAACATCCCTATAGACCAATAAATGTGACACACTGACATTATTCTTGAAATTAATTGCTCTCCAAATAATGTCTTTAGGAGAGATATAAGGTAACATTGTTGACAGAGGAAAGAATTTAACAAAGATCGTGTCAAACTGTACTCTAAAGTGGTATGATGGGAAGAAGCCTGTATTAGAATAAGGAAGTCTGGATTTTAGTTCAATAAATACATGATCTTAAGCAAGTCATTATCCCCTTTCCTTCATTTTCCTCATCTATAAGATGAAGCTATACAATTTCATCATTTCTAAAAAGTCCCTTTCAATTAAAGAAATTTATGATTCTCAAGTACACTGAAATATTACAAAGATATTACAGTTGAGAAATTTTTTCTTGCATGGTTTATGAATGTACTGGAGGCCTTACTGTAGCACAGATATATATATATATTTTAAAAGATTTATTTATTTTAGAGATAGAGCACGCGTGCACACACACACATTCAGGGGGAGGGGCAGAGACAGAGAGAGAGAATCTCAAGCAGACTCCCCAGTGAGTGTGGAGCCCAATGTGGGGCTCCATCCCACGACCCTGAGATCATGACTGATGGAAGCTGAAATCAAGAGTAGGACGCCCAACCGACTGAGCTACCCAGGTGCCCCAACAGATATATTTTTCAACTTGTAAGAACAGTTGTTTAAAGGCTACAATTTGGTTTAATGGTGAAACAGTTGTTCAGTGCTAGAATAAACATGAGTGGTCGTAATTAGAACAAAATGTATTAAAAAATAATTTAAGCTAACATAAAATTAATTACCAGACATCTTAAAGGCTTAAGGAAAAAAACTTAAGGAGATGAATTATTGTCAAGAACAAAAGTTTTTAACTGCTACAAAAAGGTTAAAAGCAGATAGATGTTTATGAAAATGAACAAAGCAGTAATTAAATTGATAAAAGAGCCAGTTAAATAGTTACAAAGATCAGAGTCTCAGTTTATATAAATGACTATGAGAATCAGAGGTTAAAGTTAAAATCAGATAAATAATTTCATGAAAAAATAAAGCTCTAACATATATAGATTGGATCATACACTGAGAAAGTGCATATATTCTAAATTTTCAGATTACAAAAGGATTGTTGTTACTACTCCTGTTTTTAGTGGTGAGGTAGAAGGGCTAAAGGAAGGCTAATACTTGTTGAGTACCCACATTGTGCCAGGCATTTTACATAAACTCTCCTTTGATCCTTCTTAATAATGTTTTTATTATGGAGATCAATGTCCTAAGAGGGTATCTCTAAGAGGATATTATGTATCTATTGTGAATAGATATCTATTAAGAATAAATACTGTGATCTCTGTTTCATAGATGAAAAAACTGAGGTTCTAAAGGATTAAAGAACTTTCCAAAGTCACACAACAAAACCAAGAGTCAGGGATCAAACTTAAGTTTAAGTGGCTTAGAAGCGCCAGGGTGGCTCAATCGGTTAAGTGTTCGACCCTTGATTTTGACTCGTGATCTCAGGGCTGTGAAATCCAGCCGCATGTTGGGCTCTACCTACGCTGGGTGTGGAGCCTGCTTGAGATTCTCTCTCTTCCTCTCCTTCTACCCCTCCCCGAAACTCTTGTGCTCACTCTTAAAAAATGGCTTAAAAGCCAAATGTAATGACAAAATATGTTTATAATAAAATATTATATATACATATGTATATATAACATATGTGTATGTGTTTGTGTGTGTGTATATATATATCCTCAAAGTGTCAAAAACTGGATAGAAGAATGAACAAATCAAAACAGTTAAAAAAAAAAAAACCCAAACAGTGTATATTTCTCTGTCATCAATGGCCCTAATCATTGATTCATACATCCCAAGTCAGCCTTGATTGCTGACTTTATTTTCTGAACTGATTTTTAAAACTTGGTTCAAATTGACTTCTGGTCATGCCAAAAATTTAATCCACCTTCAAATGGTAAAGGTTTGTCCCCTCACTTTACAGATAAGAAAAGAGAAATTAAGTGATATGATTTAGATAATTCCAAAAGAAGATTTCTAAAAATATTTCAATCAGTGTCACAATTACTAGTATAAGCACGATCTTAAATGTGGCTTCACTTAGGGGGAAAACACTAATTTGATTAGCACAATTTTAGAAACTAGTCTCTTTGTAGCACAGTACATAAGCAAAGACGAGAGTCTAGAGTCAGACTGCTTGGGTCTGAATCTCAATTCTAGCAATCACTATGAAACCCTGATTCCATGCCTCAGTTTCCTTATCTGTAAAATGATGATCTCTCTTACAAGGCTATTTGAAGGATTAAATGGTTTAATATATATAAAATGCTCAGAACAATGCTTGGAGTATTAAATGTGCTCAATTAATTGGTAACCGTTACTACAATTATTTTATAGTTATTTTTCAAAGGCTAAAGCAGACAAATGCTAGAAATAGCTATGGGATGCTCACACTCTTGAGCTCTAGAATAAGGAACTCCCACTCTAGCCCAGGGAACAGTCCTGGCTTGTAGGATCACAAGGACTTTGTTGGGTAGGGATGCATGATCACAGAAAACCAAATAGAAGGGTCTTGGGAGTTCTAACCAGTTTCAAAAGGATTCTGGCCCAATCAGGATCCCCCAAATAACTAGGATGATGCCCTATAAGAGTAGCTTGCATTTAGTTCTACCTAGAATTTCTAATATAACACTATTATAGAATTATGTCCAGAATTGTATGGTCCAGAGATGACCAGGAATGTTTAATACAAGCCCTTTCCTCACTATTTTTACTGTGATTAAAATATATGTAAAAATTTCAAAGAATACACAGATAAATCACAGTAAATCCCACAAGGACAGATATTCCATGAAAGCAGGGCCTTGGTCCATTTGTTTGCTACTGCATCCCTGGTATCACAACATTAGTTCATGGCACATAGTAAGCATTCTATAAAGACTTTCTTAAAAAATGAATGCCCAGGAAATACATTTTTGTTGTTGCTGAACAACTCTTAGCCCCTTCTTTTCTTCTGTGCTCAATGAAACTTACTTAAAGGAGAAATGCATCATCTAATATCCCTAGTAGCAGCCTTAGATACAGTAGTAAGAAATGTATATTTTAAAATTGGGATGATTTTGTCTCAGTCTAATCTGTGTAAGAGAAATGGCTAATTACTGGTACTTTAGAAAATACAGATTTTGTTAATGAGGCATTTTAAGTTGTATGAGAAAAGTACATTAACCCATATAAGGCACAAGATTTTAAATACAACCTTAAGAGTTTTATAGGCTATCTCCTAAAACCCATTTTCCATGGACCTTAGTTTAAGTAAAATCATAAGCATATAGACTCCACTAACTTAGAATTTGAGGGAATTCAGGTATAATGTCTACATAAGATTTAAACTGAGTAAAAATTTTGAAATCATTTGTTCCTTTATGAATATTGCAGGGTCTCGTTTTTGTTCGCTCTATGATTAAAGATTCCATAAATATGCCCTCAAGAGATTGCTTTGGCAAGTCTTATATTTTACCATGACACTCTAATATGCAGTGTGGCCAACTATGAATTACAATAATTTCTTTAATGCATTTCATTATCATTTTATAAATGCATTTAATATCATTTTTCTATTTTGGCTTTAATGTGTACTTTATCATAATGGAATAACATGTTATCTCTTTATATAATTTCTGGTATACTTGGAAGAACAATGGGCAATTGGAAAGGGAAGTCTAACCTAATACTTGTGTGATTTTTGGCCAAAGCATTTAATCTCTCTGTGCTCAGTTTTCTCATCTGTAACACAGAAATAATATATAACAGCCTTCACAGGAATATCAAGAAGACCAAGTAATACTATAATAAAAGCATTAATTTGTTTTTAATTTTAAGAAAATTATAATTTAAACTTTTAAAAATAAGATCAGCTTTCCCTCAAATATTCTCAACTAGTAAGGTATAGACCTTGAGCCTGGTTCTACTTGGCTATCTTCTCAAAATCAACTTTTAGCTTTTAATTAATACATGCTACTATGCTAATCACACCTGGTAGCAGCCAAGGTTACAATCACATTGAAACACATCCTCCAAATCCAAAGTGTTTTCACATAAGCAATACAAAATTTTATGTGAATGTGAGGTTTGTGAACATTGTGATAATTTCAACTTACTCTTTTTTCCTACGACCATGAAAAAAACTGGCCCATTCAAAGCATGTCTTTTTGCTTCCAACCCAAAAAATGGAGGGAATACCAACTATGAGAGCCATCAGGTATTTCATCAGAAAGAGAATCAGGTCTGGACGACTCATTTGAGTAACCTACAAGAAGGGAAAGAAAAATATCTTAAATATATAAAAAGAACTTTCTATCAAAGGCCATTATAAATCTTTTAAATAAACAATAGTAAAGTAATTCTACAAACTTGGTATTTTCATTTATACTTAATTTTCTTGTTATATGGAAAAGATACACACTCCTGAAAATTTGACAGTAAGTTTCTATTTTATGTTTTGAGTCCTGTATTTTTCTTATTAGCTCACAATGGTATCTTCTAAAGAAAAAGATTATTAATGTAGAAAATAAGCCATGAATAAGAATAGAGGCTCTCAAATAATATCTATATTCTTCTTGGCCAATTCTGTTAGTCCTATCATTGGTCATTACAATATAAAAGCAGGAAAGTATTACTCTTTCCCCCCATTTTATTAATTTCTGTTCTCATCTTTTATAGCCCTTCCTTCTATCTACTTCGTTTTACTCTGCTGGCTATTTTCAAGCTTCCTCTTTAACCTATGAGTTATTTATAGGTACATTTTCTAGTTTCTAGTCAGTTGAGTTTTTAAAAATTGCTTTTTATTTTCGGTTTCAAGTTAATTATTGTGGTCAAAGACTGTGGTCTATATTATTCTGGTTACCTTAAATTTTGGAGACCTCCTTTTGATTTAAGACACTGTTAATTTATATAAGTATTCCTTGTGTACTTTAAAATAGCACATACTCTCTGTTGGGTACAAAATCTTCTATATGTATTAGATCAACTTTATTGGTTCTGTCATTCAAATTTTCTATATTCTCAATTAATTTTCTGTTTACCTGTTTTATTTTTTTTTTTTAAGATTTTATTTACTTGAGAGAGACAGGGAATGAGCAGAATGAGGAGGGGCAGAGGGAGAAGGAGAAGGAAAAGCACTTCTCACTAAGCAGATAGCCCAGTGCAGGGCTCAATCCCAGGACCCTGGGATCATGACCTGAGCCGAGGGTAGACGCTTAACAGACTGAGACACCCAGGCGCCCCTACCTATCTGCTTTAACAGAGGTATGCCAAAATCTCTCACATAACTGGGGACTCATCAGTTTTCCTTCTAATCCTGTCAGTTTTCACTTTCAAGCCTATGTTATGTACTATGTTAATTCAATAATGCTCTAGATGCTCATTTTGCTTGTTAATACTCTTCACCTTAAACTGTATTTTATCTGACATTACTATTGCCACATCAGCTTTTCACTTCATCACAGCAACATATTTTCCAGGTGTATCTTTTCCTATTTACCAATGAATTTCTTTCAAGTCTGTCCCTTTGGGTTATACTGCCTCTTTTAAGCAGTATACAGTTTACTACCACTAAAATGTCCACTCCATGAAGAGATTATTTTCCCCACTGTTTTATCCCCAGAGTCTAGACCAGTGCCTGCACATAGTAGGTACTCAATAAATACATACATTTAAAAATATACTTGGTTTTATTAGGAAAAAAATAGTTAAAATGATCAGCACCTCCATCTTTTTGAATAAGAAAATACTCCTAGCACACTATATAGCTACCTATATTCCTTATTATTTTCCAGAAATTCAAAACAACTTTTGCAAAAATAATTTTTTATTATCTTTAGTTTTGTCAAAAAGTACACCCTATGCTTACCTTTGGGTTCCCTTTTCTTCTTGCTAAAGAAGGTTTAAAGGATGCCCTTTAAAAATTCTTACAAATAAGGTATGCCAGAGACAAATTATTTGTCTTTGCCTGAAAATGTCTTTATTTTGCCCTCAATCTTGAATGATAAACATTAGTGTATTGTCTTCTAGTTCCTATTGTTTCTGTTGAGAAGTCCAATTGATAATCTTTTGGAGATTTACTTCCTCTCTCCAGTAGCTTTTAAATTTTTCTTTATTCTTTTCACTTTATAGTTGCACTGAATGTTTCTCATTGTGATTGATTTTTATTTCTCCTGCTTAGTATGTAGAGTGTACTTTTAATCTAAGGACCCAAGTTTTCAATTCTGGAAAATTCTCAGACATTAGGTTTTTGATTACTGCTTCTTAGTCATTCTTATGGCTTCTTGTTCTACAACTCCCATTAGATCTATACTGAAGTTCCTCAATCCTTATTTTTATGTCTTTTAACTACATAATTATATCATTTTTAGTACTGTATGTCTCTCTATATTCTGTATTCTGGGTGAACTCTTTTTTTTTTTTTTTTTAAAGATTTTATTTATTTATTCATGAGAGACAGAGACAGAGAGAGAGAGAGAGGCAGAGGGAGAAGCAGGCTCCCAAGGAGCAGGGAGCCCGATGCGGGACTCGATCCCAGGACCCTGGGATCATGACCTGAGCCGAAGGCAGACGCTTAACCATCTGAGCCACCCAGGCGCCCTCTGGGTGAACTCTTTAGAACAGTTTTCTACTTCACCAATTCCCTCTTCAACCATGTCTATGTTAGGGTTCTATCTACTGATTTAATTTCCATGACTTCAATTCTAAAATGTCTAATTAGTTCTTATTATTTGTCTATTCTTATTTCATTTCTGCTAACTTATCATAATTTCTTATTCTTTTAAAATGGTTTTTATTGTTTATCTTTTGGAGAATCCTAAACATACTTATTTTTAAATAAGTCTTTAAAAAATTAGTTTACTACTTTAATTTCATCTGGGAGGAAATCCATCTTCTAATTGTTGATTTTGTTGGATGCTTTCTAGGTTTGGCTTTTTTCTTTTCTGAATTGTGCTTTGGAATTTTAGTTTGCAGATCTTGAGTGAGAATTTTCCCTCTCCCTTTCTCCCTTCCTCCCTCCCTCCATTTATCTCACCCTGTGTCATGACTTTTTGTCTTCACCAGTGCCCACAGGGACCTGGTCAAATACCAGGTTTTATATTGGTGATTGTCAACTCCAGATGTTATTGGTTACTGGAGATTCGGGTACTAAGTCATTGCAGTTTGGCTTAAATATTGGTCTTAAGGCTGTGCTGGTGTCCTCCCACATCTCTAGATAAGTAGTTTTATATTAACTACAGCTTTAGGGAACAGTTGGTATTACCTTTTACATGAACTTCCTTTCAGGAGCAGGGGAGCCTCATTTCCAATTCTTACTTTTAACCAGTGAGCCTAGTTCTGGTCCTCTGACTTCCATGTGACACTTATACATCCTAATACACCCCAGAAACTGGATGCCCAATCACCTCTAGCTACTTCATACCTGGAGTTCAGTAGGCCCATGTTTTTCATCACTAGTTATCAACTTACATTTCTGTTATACAAATAAGTTTATTTTGTCTTTTAGACTGATTACATTTAAAAATTTTTGTTGTTTTATCTATAAATGATTTTATGTTTATGTTTTATCTATAATCGCACATGATTACAGTTAGCCTGGTAAGCTCAAAACATAGAATTTAAATTACAATCATAACCTAGAATTAAGGTGTAATTCCTTTAGAATTTACCTAAAAGTAAAAAAGCAAATATTTATAGATCATCCACTACTCTAAGAATAATTCTGCTCAAAGCCCCATGAGACTTATGAAACAGATGTAAGGTTTTATTAATGTTCCCACCAAGCTGATAATCTAAATGAAAATATAAATTAAAGAAACCACTGAATAGTTAAGAACTATAATTAAGCAGATGAAAAGACATATAAGCAGATCACAAATAACCTCCTCATTAAAAAATACAATGGCTTCCTGTTGTTCCACTTTTTTAAGAAGATTTTTTCTTTAGGTAATCTCTATACCCAACATAGGGCTCAAACTCACAACCCCGAAATCAAGAGTCACATGCTCTACTGACTGAGCCAATCAGTTTCACTTTTTTTAAATACTTCTATATAACATCACTTATTGATGACTATCTCATACTTAACAAAAATTTATCTCCCCTGACTTCTATAACACTGCATAGTCATGATTATTCACTTAATGAGGCATTACTTTCTTACTTTCATTACTTTCTTCTTGACTTCCTACTCCTGCTCTTCTACCATTTGCTCCCCACTACCCTCTATATAAGAGTTTTGGGTTTTTTTTTTTTAAGATTTTATTTATTTGAGAGAGAGCAAGCGAGAGAGAGAGCAGAAGCAGGGTGAGGGGCACAGGGAGAAGCAGACTCCCCACTGAGCAGGAAGCCCGATGCTGGGCTCAATCTGGGACTCCAGGATCATGACCTAAGCAGAAGACAGACGCTTAACTGACTGAGCCACCCAGGCGCCCCTATACAAGAGTTCTTAAAGCCATTCCTTGATTCTCTCTTTATACTCTCAACTAATCATTTAAACTTAGAAGTCATCTAGTTGTATTCTTTACCTAACAAGTTAATTTGCTTTCAATTTAGTTGTTCTGTGAATATAACTAGTATGGTGGTATTGATAAAATACAAGTTTGCCTCTTCCATGTTCAAATAGTTCTAGCTATTCTGCCCACCTGTCCTAGTTTTGTCCTCTGGTACTGTCAAGAATAAGACTACCATTCCAGAAGTCCTAGTCAATTCAATAAGATACCCTGCCAGAAGTGAAACTTAAAAAAAATGGTGTATTAGGAACAAAGACACAAAAAGACTAACCAGAAAATCCAAGAGAATCAACAGAAAAACAGAAACAAGAGTTCAGTAAGTTGGTCAAGATTAATATACAAAAATCAAATGTTTTCTTATATACTGTCAATATCCAGAGAATATAATGAAAACAATTTCATTTATAATACCAACAAAAACAAAAAATATCTAGGAATAAACCTAGCAACTACTAAATACAAAGAAAATGATAAAACACTATCAAAGGACACAGAGAAAAACTGAAATACATAGAGAAACAGTCCATGTTTCTACATGCAAAGACTCAATGTTTTAAAGATGTCAAGTCAATTATCCCCCAAATTAATCCTATAAACTTGGTACAATCCAAAAAGAGCAAAAGGATTTTTCACAGAATGTTAAAAGGTAAGTATATGATAAAAGTATTTTAAATAAATGGGGGAAAGATCATAGATTGTTTAATAAATGATGTTGGAATGGTTGGCAATCCACCTGGAAACAAACTAATTTAGA